AGAAGAATGAACAAATCTGTCTTGGGAGAGGTAGAGCCACAATATTCTTAAAAGTAAAGATGCTATGATGGGTTTATGTGCCAACTAGACCTCCATAAGAACATGTGGACGGAGTTTAATCAGGTCGAAGCTTGATTGGAGGGCAAGTGAGATAAAGACGGCTGGCATGTGGTCTCTCGCTTTCTCCCTGGTGATAGGACTAGCAAGCTGCTTGAGCTAGTGTGCTGCACTACCTATGGGCCAAGCCAACCCATAGATCTTGTTGCTAGAGCTTGAGACTCCTTCAAGACCCACTTTACCTTGCTGCTAGTGCATACATCGCTTGAGCTTGAGGCTGGTTGATCCTGTCACAGTGCATCACTTGAGTTCAAGATCCCATCCAGAACTGCTTCACTAAGCTCCTGAGCTACTGACAATTGCTGACCCACCCTGCTATAGGCTGCCTATGGGCAGACTCTACCTGTCCTGCCCGATGGAAGACTCTGCTGTCTGCTTCCTTGACCATGGACTGGCAGCCCGTGTGAATTGAAGGACTTTCAGTATATTAACTGTTCCACAAAAGTGCATTGAACTGAACCCTCTGTACTGCTGTGTGGATCAATTAGCGGTTATATTCCTTCTCCCTGTATAAACACATACACACACACACAATCCTAAGTGTCCTGGGTTTCTCTAGAGAGCCGTGCCTAACACAGATGCTGAGACGTTGCCTCAAGTACTTTGGACATGCTATCAGGAGGGACCAATGCCTGGAAACGGACTTCATGTTTCATAAAGCAGAGGGTCAAACAAAAAGGGGAGGACCCTCAACTGGATGGCTACAACAAAAATTTAAAGCATAGCAGAAATTGTGAAGATGAAAAGCCAAATACATAAAATTGTGACGATGGCGCAGGATCGGGCAGTGTTTCATTCTGTTCTGCAATGGATTGCTATGACTGGGAACCACCTCTATGACAACTAGGAACAACAGCAATATATGTTACACATGCATTGTCAGGTGTTATATACTCATAAATGTATTCATTTCAGCAGCAACAAAAAGACCTGGGTAAATAGTAAACTATATTGTCAAAAATATTCTTATATTTTTCATGAAGTGGTAAAAGTAGATTCTGACTGTACTTCGAAGTAGATGTGATAAAAAACAAACTTTAATTCATAGAGCAAACACTCAAGCATTTTATATTTTAGTGAAGGTTAAATATACCTCAATTTTTAAAATAATATGGCAAAGGGATATAACATGCCAAAATAGAATCAAAATAGAATACAAAGGATATTTAAAAGTCAAATAAAACAAACAGAAACCAAGTAGCTAAATTGTAGAACCAAATCCAAACATGACAATAGAAATGTTCAATGTAAATGGACTAAACCTTCTCATTAAAAACAAAGACTGTTAACAGAGGAAGATCAAACTATTTATTAACTCTAAGAAACTCATTTTAAGAATCCCGATTTATAGCAATGCTACAGGACAGCATAGAACTAACCCTTTGGGTTTCTGAGGCTATAAATCTTATGAAGCAAGAAGTCACACCTTTCTCCTGAGTAGTGCCTGGTGGGTTCAAACTGCTGACCTTGTAATTAGCAGGCCACTGCATAATCTCCCATGCCACCAGGGCAGAAAATAATTGCTCGTAGGTTTTCCAAGACTATGATTCTTTATGGGAGTAAACAGCCTCCGTTTTTTCCCCTTAGAGTGCCTGCTAAGTTTGAACAGATGTTGCAGTTAGCAGTCCAATGCTTAACCCAGAGTGCCACCAACACCAAGGCTCCTTAGATATATTAAAAGTATAAGAATGACATTAGCCACCAAAGAGATCCAAATCACAATAAAATACCATTTCTCTCCCACTTGGGTAGTTAAGATTAATAAAACAAAGAGAAAATAACAAATGTTGTTAAGGATATGGGGAAAGTGGAACCATTAGCTACTGCTGGTAAAAATGCAAAATGGTTCACCTACCATAGAAAATAGCATGCAATGACACACACACACACACCCTAAAAATAGAGCTACCATACCCACCCCCATGGAGTCAATTCCAACTCATAGTGATTTTGAGCCTGTAAGTCTTAACTTTCTTCCGTGGAGGTGCTGTTGCATTTGAATCACTAACCTTGTAGTTAGCAGTAGTACGCTTACCCAAGAGTGTCGCCAAGATTCCTTTCAAAATTCACTGCCATTGAGTTGAGTCTAACTCATAGCGACCCTATAGGACAGGACAGGGTAGAACTACCCCAGAAGGTAACAGAGACTAACTTTTCACAGTAGTAGAAAGCTTCATCTTTCTCCTGAGGAGCAGCTAGTACTTTGAACTGCTGACTTTGTGCTTAGAACTACCAAATGACCCAACAATTCCACTGTTAAGAACACACACAAAGGACATGAAAACAGCCATATATGTTAACTGCAGCACTATTCACAATAGCTAAAAGGCTTATATATCCAATGCCTATTATCGGATGAGTGGATCGACAAACCGTGGTATATTCACAGAGAGCAATACTACACAGTCAAAGAGAATGAAGTCTTCATGCACGCGATGACATTATGGGCCCTGAAGACATTTTGCTGACTGAGATAAGTTATTCACAAAAAGGCAAATATTGTATGCTCTCACATATAAAAAGACAAGAATATGCAAAAACATTCAAACCAAAGTTTATTGGTGTTGCCATGGGTGAGAGGATGTGGGAAAGAGAAGGCGAATGCTTGTGGAGCACTGATTTTGGCTTACTGTAATGCAACAATCACACACTGATTACGGTAATGGCTGCCAGTACATTGTATTCCTGTAAAAAGGCAAAGTGACGAAGTTGTGTGGTAGACATATTCACAAAAATAACAGAGTAGCTGCGGAGGCTGCTTACATGTACCCAACACCTCCAGGGACCTGGTTCTCCGTTTTGGAGGTTAGATCATGTTTTCAAGGACTACCACAATTAACTGGCCTAATAACATGTCTAATGCTTCTGTTCTACCTCCTAGGTCATTGCATAATGTCTGGGATCTTGAAAGCTTGCAAGATGCTATCCCAGGACAACAATAGGTCTCTACTGCCTCCTTCTGCCAGGAGAACAGAACTGGATGGTGCACCACTCCCCTTACTATAAAAGCACCCTGCCCCAAAGAGGGAAAATTCATAACAGAATGGTAAATCTCAAGGAGGTTGGATGAACGACCAAAACTATTACCCCAAGATCATCTTTAACTTTAAATCAAAATAGTCCATGAAGTCTTCTTAAAATAATAGTTGACCACAGCTAGTAAAAGAATGTCTGCCTTGAGTATTGTGTTCTTTAAAGAACTAACTACATGAACATTAGATTAAGTGAGTTTATGTTCCTGCTGTTAGTTCATGATATAGTTACTGTCTCTGAAGAAGAAACAATTTTGAAGCCAAAGGTGAGAATGATTACACAGTGGTTCTCAACTTCCTAATGCTGCAACCCTTTCATACAGTTCCTCATGCTGTGGTGACCCCCAACCATAAAATTATTTTCATTGCTACTTCATAACTGTCATTTGCTACTGTTATGAACTGGGCGACCTCTGTGAAAGGGTTGTTCGACCCCCATGTTGAGAACCGCTGCCCTAGAAGAACACAGCTTTAATCATTGTATTTGGGGCTCATACAACTCATCACAATGAACACAGCTATTAAGGTTCTTTGTATCACAGAGATTTTGCAGCTCTGTATACTACTTCCCCTTATTTTAACCAAATTCAGAGAGCACTGCAGGGCTTTTTTGTTATTAAATTGTTTTAATGAAGTCAGCGGGACAGTATAATGATTAAAGCTGTAATGCAGCTCAAACCCCAAACTTTAATATTTTGACACAGAAGGTTAGGGAGAGAATGCACGTAACATTCTTGGAAATGACCAAAATATAAGTGGTTTTAAATTTCTGAGCTGAACTGGAATTTTTCCTGATAAAACCCAAGCACATAGCCTCAGAGTTCCTTCCAACTCACAGTGACCCCACAGGGCGGAGCACAACTGCAAGGCTGCGTCTTGTCTTTCTTCCTGGGAGCAGCTGGGGGGGTCAGCTGAGTGCTTATCCACTGCCCCACCAGGGTACCCATTCCTGCTAACGCCGTAAGGCAAATTGTTAAACAACCACAACTTGTTCAATCAGTTCTTTCCTCAAATACTGTACTGACTTCAGTCTACTGAAGGCCCACCTCTAGCTACTGCCTGTGGAAAAGTCAACTACTGAAACACAAACCTGTCCCAGGGGAAGTTAATCTAGCTAAGTGGGCAAGACAAGCCTGGAAAACAAGCCACCATCACAAAGCAATACTTGACTTAGTGCCAGAAAAGAGGTGCTGCGAAAGGACTAGAACACCCAGCAGGGGTGGTTTCAGCAGGCTCCCTAAGGCTAGGGAAAAGAATTTGGGCCAGGCGGAAAATGGGCTGGGAAGGTGCAAGCACTTCCAAGACTGGGGAGCAGGCAAAACATGCAAAGTAACGGATAACTTCCGATTCCGTTCCCAGAGCACCCCTAATACCACGCCACCGCCTTGTGCCTGGCTCTCCTATCAATCTCTTCCCAAACCTTTTAGATCCGTGGTTGTCTAAAGTGTGGTCCTTAGGCCAGCAGGATCAGCAAATATCTGGAAACTTGAAATGCAAATCTTGAGGACCCACCGCCGACCTGAGTCAGAAAGTGGGGGAATGCGACGACAATCTTTGTTTTAACAAGTCCTTCCTTCAGGTGATTCAGGTACGCATCAATTTGAAACCCACTCCTCTGGGACTAGCTACGAAGAGCGCCCTCCCTCCGCACAGGCGTGCAGCCGTTCCGAGAGCCGAGAGGGAGCAGGCAGGGAGTCTAGTTAAGAGCAGATCCCAGCCAAGAGTCCAGTAGCTGCCCCTGTGTCGCTTTCTCCAGTCGAACACCTTTTCCCAGTGACTGCCTGCCCTCTGCACCAGTCCCTCCCGCCACCTCACGCCTCCGGGTGCGCTCCCTACCCTCGGTCGCCCTACCTCGGAGTCAGAGGGGACGTGGTGCCGGCAAGGAGGGGCGCTGCTCAAGGAGACAGGAAAATATGTGGCGCTTGCCCGGAGCCATCCCAAGAGGAATAAAATGCCTTGGGCCCATAAAGAACCGCTCCAGTGCCAGCGGCTTGGGCCCGGGCCTGAACCCGGGCATCCCGCTCCTCCGCCGCCCTCGGCCGCCATTTTCGGGCTGAGCGTCGTTGCCATGGAGTACGTACGCCGCTGCGCCCGGCGCTGACTCCGCCCCTCGCCGCTCGGAGCAGGTGCGGGGACCAGCCGCTGGAAAGACGGCTTTTGATTGGCTGACGTCAACTGCAAGCACTTCCTCGCGGAAGATGAGGGCAGCGACCCGGTCCAATGCTTCTCATTTCCCGAAGCTGCCCAATAAACGCCTTTTACTTGTCCACGTGACCAGGCTGTGGGAAGGAAGACTAAGGGATGTTATTGATAGGTGGATACTGTAATAGTATATGGATTTGAACCCTTTTCATTCCTTGTATCTGTCACTCAGAAAAGATGCCACTTTATAGCTCATTTCCATTGCACTTATCCCAAGTCATGAATTTGGGGCTCATTTGTCAGTTCCTACAGAATTAACTTTAAAAAAAAATCATTTTATTGGGGGCTCATACAGTTCTTATCACAATCCATGCATACCATCCATTGTGTCAAGCACATTTGGACATTAGTTGCCATTATCATTATAAAAAAATTTGCTTTCTACTTGAACCCTTAATATCAGCTCATTTCCCCCCCTCCCCCATGAACCCTTGATAATTTATATTTTGTCTTACCTTATACTGTCCGACGTCTCCCTTCACCCACTTTTCTGTTGTCCATCCCCCGGGGAGGAGGTTATATGTAGATCCTTGTAATCGGTTCCCCTTTCTACCCCACCTTCCCACCACCCTCCCGATATCACCCCTCTCATCACTGGTCCTGAAGGGATCATCCGTCCTGGATTCGTGTTTCCAGTTCCTATCTGTACCAATGTACATCCTCTGGTCTAGCCAGATTTGTAAGGTAGAATTGGGATGGTGGGGGAGGAAGCATTTAAGAACTAGAGGAAAGTTGTATGTTTCATCGTTGCTACATCAACCTTGACTGGCTGGTCTCCTCCCCGCGACCCTTCTATAAGAGGCTGTCCATGGGCTTTGGGTCTCCACTCTGTACTCACCCTCATTTACATGATTTTTTGTTCTTTGATGCCTGATACCTGATCCCTTCAACACCTCATGGTCACACCGGCTGGAGTGCTTCTTCCATGTGGGCTGTTGCTTCTGAGCTAGATGGCCGCTTGTTTACCTTCAAGCCTTTAAGACCCCAGATGCCTACCTTTTGATAGCCAGGCACCATCAGCTTTCCTCACCACATTTGCTTATGCACACATTTGTCTTCAGTGACAGAATTAACTTTACCATTTAAATCAACATCATGTTGTCTTGCTTGGATCCACATTCAATGCTCATAGAAGCAGCAGCCAAGAGATCAAAAGATCAGTTCTATTAGAGTAATCTGCTGCACAAGACCACTTTCGGATACAGAAAAACCAAGAATGTTACTTTGAGGATTAAGGTGCGCCTGACCCAAGCCATGGGATTTTCTATTGCCTTATATGCATATGAAAGTTGAACATTGAATAGGAAATACTAAAGAACCATCAATGCATTTGAATCGTGCTGGAGAAGGGTCTTCAAACTACTTTGGACCACTAAAGGGCGAACCTGTCTTGGAAAATGTTAAGATCAAGTGCTTCATAGATTCCTCTTCCACTGGTCAAGGTTGCCAAGACCATCTTACACTTTGGACTTGTCAAGAGACATCAGTTGCTGGAGGACATCATGTTTGGTAAAGCACTGGGGCAGCAAAAAAGGCCCTGAGGAGACGTGTAAGTGGCTGCCAACAATGGGCTCAGGCATAGCAATTCTGATGGTTGCTGCAAGACTGAGCAGTGATTCATTCTGTTGTGCATGAGGTCGCAATGGGGTCAGGATAGGATGGCAATTGCAATCACATTAACCCAGAAGAGGCTGAATAGATCCTTTCCATTACAGATATTGCAACTACAGAATTGTACCTGAAGAAACCCATAAAACGGAAAATTGAGACAAAGCTCAGTGGACCATGAAAACAGAAAACTAAAGGCAAGATATTGAAGCATTGACATATTTGAACCACAGGGAACTGCCAAGAAATAGGAAATCCTCAAGAAAGTCTATAACAAGGCTAGTAATAAGGATAGGTGGGTTTACCATTTTATACATAAACTCATTAAGTATATCCTTCAACAGGCAGTGAAATTTAGATTCCACATCAGATCTACCACTTTTCAAATGTGATCTTTTCACCCACTACAAAGTTTACCTGGTTTCCCTTTCCTCAATTTGTGCTAGGATGCCACTGTGATTTTTCTAGAACATGAAATCTGGTCATCCTTAGGTATCTCTTTAGTGACATTGTTACATACAACATTGAGTCTAAAGTTCTTAGTATACAAGTTCTTTTTTTTTTTTTAACATTTTATTAGGGGCTCATACAACTGTTATCCCAATCCATACACACATCAATTGTGTAAAGCGCATTTGTACATCGTTTCTCAAAACATTTTCTCTCCATTTAAACCCCCAACATTAGGTCCTGCATGAGCCCTTGATAGTTTATAAATGGGTATTTTGTCATTATCTTGCCCAGTCCGACGTCTCCCTTCATCCACTTTTCGGTTGTCTATCCCCCAGGGAGGTCACACACAGTTCCATGTAATCAGTTCCCTCTTTCCTACCCATTCTCCCTTTACCCTCCCTGTTTTGCCACTCACACCACTGGTCCTACAAGATCTTTCTTAATCATAAAATTTTTCCAATCATTCTGACAAAATTTGAATGGTTCCTCAAACTGCCTTTTAGTTTAAAATAAAATGTTGCTTCTTCCCTTTTCCTGAAATACCCTATTACCTTCACGTCTCAATCTCCGATTACCTCAAGTACTGGCTACATTTTATTTACCAAGGCTATCTTCAATAGATTTTGCATCCGACTAAGGTGGTTCCTTGTATATGGAGAAAACGTGCTAATTTCACTGGGGTAGGTCCAAGAATAGCAACTTTCTGCCCTTGACCCAGTTTTCTACACTGTTTCTAAGTGTTCCAATAATCAAATGTTTGCTTCTAAAAGGAATCCAAATGCACATTCCAAAATTTGTTTTGGCAAGCTCCTAGTTTTTAGTGCACTGTCAATGATTTAATAAAGCAAAGGCCTAGCTGCTTTTGAATGGATTGGAAATCAATCACATGCATTAGATTTTATCTCCAGTAACTTACATATTTTAAAGTATTTTAGACCCATTCTCCTTTGAAACATCTAAGTACAAAGTCCAAACCCCACATTTGATATAACTGATATGACGGGGTGAGAGAATTTGTGATCTCACCCCAATAAAAGCTGCTGAATCTTATCCTTCTGGATCCATACTCTTCCAAATTCCCTCATCACAAATTTACACAACAAATCTATAGTGAACAAGTGTTTATTACAAGGGTGCTTTTGAGAAGTTTAAAGATAAATGGTACACAGTAAAACCGAGATCCCCTAAGTAGTAAAAAAGGTCAGAATGTTCAGCAAACCCAAACATAGAAGGGTTGAGGTCACTAGAGGCACCATGAAGGAGCTGGTGATAAGCCTTGGTCTGAAACCTCAGAGCACAAACCAATTCTGACGTGCATGCAGGTAACCATGGATTGGTACACACCCAGGATTTTTCCCCCCTCCCTGGTAAACACCATTTCTCCCATTTGCCCATGTTATTCCAAGGTTAGGTTCAGTTCCAGACCACAATAAAGCATCTATCAAGAAAGTCGTGTTAATTTATGAATTATGAAGGGTTCATGAGGGAGGGGGGAGTAAAATGAGCAACTGATATTAAGGGCTAAAGTAGAAGGCAAATGTTTTGAGAATGATGAGACAACAAATGTACAAATGTGCTTGATACATTTGTATGTATGGAATTGTGATAAGAATTGTACGAGCCCCCAATAAAATAATTTTTTAAAGTCGCATGAATTTTCTGGTCTTCCAATACATATAAACAAGGCTTACAAAATAAAATAGCAAGAAAGAGGAAGTTTTCTACTCAACCTCAGAAACTCACAGGGGCAATTCTACCCTATCCTATAGGACTACTGAGTCAGGATAGCGAATTTGGTTTTTTTAGTATACTATAAACTACTAAGTGTGCAACATTATGTCACCTTTAAATATTGTGAGAATCACCAAAATGTGAAACATGTTGGAAAAATGAGACTTGCTATGGGGCTTCAAAACCTTTGACCAAAACCAAAAAAAGCCACACCATCTGCACAGCACAGTAAAACAAGATATATTTATATTCGGCTTCAACAGCCCAACAAAAGCTTACCTATTTAAATTTTAACTTCTGAAACCCCAGTAGGTCATTGTTTAAAGTTCTAAAATACCAACATAGCTCTACACCTTCCTTCTGCTCTGAAAACGAATTCCAAGAAAGCCATTTCTCCACAGCAATGTCCATTTAAAGCATTAACAATTTAGAGAATATGAGTTTCCAAGTGATTTAATAAAAATACAAAAGAGAAGTAACAAATGCACAATTTTATTTATTTACTTTTAAGTTTAAATTCTTGAGGGGTACAGCATCTGGAGGGGAGAAACAAAAACATTAAGTAAATACAATAAATTTACAAACATTAAGTACAATAACAAATGTGTTCTTAAGTTTTTCATAACTTACTTTGGTCAGAGTCCTAGGACCTAGGAAAAGCAAATTCTTCATCTAGAAAATATAGCTAGTATTATCTATTCTAACAAGACTGGCATTGAATAAATGCCCAATAATTATCTTTTAAGAAAAGTATTAACTTCAGTAGCTCCTCCCAGGAAACTTCAGTAAATTCTGCGATCAACCACAATCCATGCTAACATTCTGCCTTCTCTACAATGCTTTATTGACATACTAACAGTCAGATGCCCCAAATAAATTGTAGCCACTAATCTTGCTTCATTACCTACTAGTGACATTGAACAAAGTAAAACCACAGTAGAATGGCCCCTTAGAAATCAAGTCCCAACCCCTTGAGCTTAATTTGACTAAACAGAGGGCTAGTCTGGTTAATATTTTTACTTACCACACGGATTCTGTGTCCAATAGCCTTTGCAGGCAGGTTGCTCCGGAATTTGGCCCGAACCATGCCACTGTTTCCATGGGCACGAGTTACCTTTCCCCAGATGACTCTGGTTTTGTTAGGTTTGCCGCCAGGAGTCACTGTGTTGCTGATACAGAGGTAGAAGAAAATGCATGAGCACTCAAAAAACAAACAAATTTAAAAAGTTCAAGGTGGCCCATTTAACTAAAGGATTAGACTAAAACCAAGAAATAATGCGTAGGCAACAAACATGTTCCTATCGTATGTATGCCAAATATCAGTTTATGGGTCTATTGCAGTTTACAGAAATACTTTTAAACCGAGTAAAACAGAAGAAAGTTGCAGGGTATCAAATGCTGGGATTTTGTGGTATGCTACATTACACTGCTAACTACAAAGTGAGACTTTCTGTTCTCGAGGGAGGTTGAATTAAAGGCTTTAATTTAGTGAGGGCCATATTGGAGTCTAGCCAGTGTACTTGTAATTTCAGAGGAACCTGCTAGCTGTGGAAATAGAGGATGAAAGTATGACCCCATAGATTTTATGTGACCTGAGGCAAAAAGGAATCCAGGATTAAGAACTACTGCTGTGGACACATTGTGAACATGTTTAAAACATGCAATTTTAGGAATTAAGGTACATGGAAAGTATTCCATAAACCCTTATGAGTATCCTAATATAAAGAATGTCTTCCTTAAAATAATGCACAGCTATCATTTTAATCTTGAAGTTACCGAAATTCAACATTATCTACAAAATTAACATCCCTCTACAGCAAAGCTTAATGAGCTGAATCCCTATTAGTTCCAAATGCTGTATCAACATTATAGTTTATTTTTCTCTCAAGAAAAAAACAAGGCAGATCTTAAGTGGAAAAAAAAACCTCAAAGGCTTTTAACATATACTTACTTCTTTGCTTTGTACACATAAGCACATCTCTTGCCTAAATAAAATTCCGTTTCATCTCGGGCGTAAACACCTTCAATTTTAAGAAGAGCCGTATGCTCCCTCTGGTTCCGTAGACCCCGTTTATAGCCAGCAAAAATGGCCTTGGACCACAGCCTAAAACACACAAACATATATGCCGTTAACCATACCTGTGAAAAGCTTTCTAACCTCAGCAAAGCACCAGGATTATTTGACTGCATGCGCCCCAAATTATTTACAGCAAATATCTTTCTTGGTCCAAAAATACAACTACAATTCAAACGAATTGTATAGAAAGCTCGTACCTTCCAGACATAGTTGCCGTTTAGAAGTCCTGTTCCCAGCAGGCCTTAAAACATAACAAAGAAAAGACTAGTTTATAATCTTGCAATGAAACTTCCCCACTAAGTTCCCCTCGTTTCTTAAGGATATTACGCAAATTCTTTTTTGATCGACATTTCCTAGAATGCCCACTGACGAGTGGATCCTGGCCCACAGTGGCCACGGAGAACTGTCACCCCCAAGTTCCCAGGCTGTAAATCTTAGGGAAGCAGACTCCCTCGTCGTCTCTGCAGAGGACTGCTGGGTTCACACTGTGACCTTGTGAGTATCGGGCCAACGCTTAACCCACCACGCCACTAGGGCGTCTTAATTTACATAGTAATGCTACGGGGAAACAATTGTGCCACGTTGTACATGACAGGTTTGTCAAGACAGCCAAGCCTGCTTGAATGCCTTTGACACCTTAAGCACACTGCGAAGTCGGGGCGGGGGGGAGGTCAAAGGGAAAAAAGGGTCAAATCTTAAGATACTCCAAGAAAAACACTACAAATTCCAATACGAAGACCTCTCACGCCAGAATCAGCAGGCGGCATTTCGAGATATGAAAAACCAGGTGTACCTCAGCAGAAAGTATTCAAAAAAGGACACTTGGATCCACTCTAAGGCAATGACTCCCTCAAATCGGCCAGTTTGATAAACGAGGTGCCCCTATTTCAGAAGGTTCAGTTTAGGGAGCAAATCCGACCGCTGAAGCAACCGCTTTCCGGACGTCAGGCAAGCAGCACCATCAGCCGCACATCTCTGCCATCCCGCCCTCCTTCTCCCTGAAATCCTGAGAAACCCCTGGCTCACGGGGCCCCCGAACGGCACAAATGCCTCGCGATGAACACCGAAAAGTCTAACCCAACTATTTACCCTCAAATTCTCAGCAACTGAAGGCTCACCCACCTCCACAGGCCCCAATATGGCGGAAAAAGGCACGCTAGGGCCCAGCGCGTTGCCTTGTGGGTAAGCATCTCTTCACCCCGCCCCTCATTTAGGTATCTTCCGCAAACGCCAGAAAAACAAAATCATCTCCTGACTAGAACAAGTCACATCCAAGAGCAGTCTTACAATTCCTTACCCGCGTCTTTTCTCCTTCATAAGTTGCAGCGTGCGTTATTTGAAGACTGAAGAAGGCAAAGTGATAGACAGCTAATGGAGGAGAGGACTCGGCTCCGCCCACTGCGTACGTTGCCATAGGAACAACGTAGCTTGGGGACAGCGTCTCGCTGTGCGGTCGGTGCAAAGCTAGAAACCGGCACTGCAAGATTTGTCCCGCCACCAGACACTTCAGGTCTGGATCGCTAAGTGGGCGTCACTTTCCTTTCTACTACACTGGAGACCCACGTTCGGATCCTGCCCTGGAAGGAAGAGAAAGGCCGGGAGCGCGAAGGCAGGAGGAATCCTTTCCTCATTTCTATCTTCCTCTTTTCTTCTCTCTCTTACACCTTTCAAAAATGGCTCCAATCCTTCGTTTTGGAGCCGAGGATAAGAACATGTCCCGAGAAGCCCTCGCACCTTTCTAGAAGCCTCTCTCACCTGTCGGACGGAAACCCGGGGCGCCCTTGCAGCCGGTCCGCACGGAGAGGCCCCAGCAAATACTTGCAGCCGAGAATGAGAGGGGCCGTGGGAGTCACAGGGTCACCTCTCCCGAGGATTGGGCATTCGTGGACTTCTCTTCTTGGGTGACCGCTGGTGCCAGAGGAAAGCGTGCTGGGAGGGCGCTGCCGTCGGGCTGTGGGGCTTGTTCCTGGACATTGCCCTGTGCCCCGGGGCTGGGAAAGGGGAGCCCACTGCCCCCGTGGAGCTCCCCCCAGTCGGGGGGCCAGACAATAAACCTGCACCGTACATTGTGGCTCGCTGGACGGCGTTAACATCTATGGAGAAACAGGAGGGAAGAAAGGCAGGGAAGCCAACGTCAAGAAGGCTTTTCTCCGACAAGGAAGCCACGTGAGGTTTCTGTGCAGGAAGAGGAAAGAAGAGTTGGGGTAGAGTAGACGTGGACTCCCAGGGACACGACACGACAGGACAGGGTAGCATTGCCCCTCGGAGCTGTGCTCTTTGTGGAACAGACTGCCACCTTTCGTGGGTCAGACCACCAGCCTTTCTGTTTGCAGCCACGCTCTTAATCATGGTGCCACCAGGTGTCCCCGTTTTTTGGTTTGGTTTTGTTTAGTTATTTTACAGAGGAAATGACTCCACTCTGACTTCTGAGGCCAAGGCATCAGTAAAGAAATCAACTAGGAGGTGATGGTGTTGATCCTGCTGGGAGATGTTGGTGTGGAGATGCAGCTGATGAGTTGCTGAAATCCTTAAATGTAAAGCTGACAGGGTTTGATGATGAATAAGGAAAGGGAGAGGGGTAAAGAATAACTCGGATTTTATAAAGTAACTGTCTATCAGATTGTCTCTTGAATTCATCAGAATGGAGTGTTCATAACTTATAGATAGCTCTCTCCCACCAAGTTTTCATCTGCCCCAGATAATTTAATTCCTTGAAGTTCCAAATGTATGTACTCCTTGAGGAATAAAACACTAAGTAGGAATTTCTTTTATTTCTTCATTCACTCAGAACACAGTGCCTGGAACTGAGGGCACAATAGTGAGCGTTGTGGCCCTGGGCCTGGCTCTCATGGAACATGCGGTCTGCTTGGAGAAGCAGGCGTGAGTGTGACAAACTGGGGAGGGCTCTGCAGGGAAATAAGAATTATGCCCATGCTTCATAGCAGAGGAACCCTGCTCCAGCCTGGTGTGTCTGGGAAAGGCTAGGTCAGGAAGAATCATTGGAGGCATTTTTTTCAAATGCAAGTGCTAACCAATTTGTACATCATAGACAATATTTGTTAAAGCAAAATATGACAGGCTACAATGGAGTCCAGACTTTCTGGTGCTATTAAAACTGGATGAATGCCCTGAGATAGTCATTCAACCTTAGACCTCAAAACAATACTTGGCTGTCTGCTTTGAATCAAACAATTGTTTACCTTCTTTGCTAAGTATGTCTGCCCTGAGCATTATGCTTTTTCAGAGAGTTCTCTAGATGGGATCAAATTGACACACACCATCTCAAAAAGTTAGATGGGAAGCTGAAGGGAAAGGGAGTTTATATTAATGGTGGTGTAATAATTTGGAAAAGAATACAACAGTTGATACAACTTTAAGAATGTAAGCAGTATCACTGAATTGTACACATAGAATTTGTTGAAATGGTGTGTCCTTTACTGTATATATTTTTATAAAATAAATGTGAAAATAGTAAAATAGAAAATACAGGGATATATCACACATAGTAACTACATGCATGTGCTATGTGTGGCTTCTACATAAGCACAATCATGTCTCAGTTACACATAGTACCGTTTACTCGTGCTCCAAAACTAAAAACACTGCAAACAAAGAACGGTACAACCACAGAGTACAATTATGTTTGACACCATGCTGACTCTTCCTAGGACTGTCTCTGCACCACAAAAATTGATTCTTGTAGACTTTCTTTTTTTCAGTTAGCATAAAGATTCTGTTTTATGTGACTGATGTTTAAATATAGCAATTTTGGTGAATGAGACATTTCATACCCCCCAGAGTCTCTTTATTGTGGACCAAGTCACAAGAAAACAGCATTTATTGTTCAATACAGAGCACAGTTTTCTATGGGGTACTATCATTGGAAACTTTATTCAAGCAGGTTAATCGCTAAAGTAACATATTTAGGAAGAGTACCATCTAAATAGCAATGTTAAATGGATTTTTAGGATAATTTCAGTTTTAAAAGTACACTCGCTATTGTTACGTCTAACTTAGGTGTAATAAATTCTGTTATCTGGAAGTCTAGAGATAAAGAATGATCTAATGAAATAATGCTAGTAATCAGAGTCAGAAAAAAAACTATTATCTAGGAATTTCCATATAAAATGTAGAGTACAATCAAAGGCATTAAACCTGTGTTGGACATTAATTTACCTTAACATGGGACTCTAAGAGTTCATTTACCTCTCACTTGGACAGAGCCCTAATTACATTAACTGCCATCACAATGATGACAGTGGGTCTTTCAGCTTTAGAACAGCTTTATTAAGCAAAAACAGGAATCTCTACCTAACTCTTAACTTTCTTGAATTTTCTCTTAAGGAGAGAACATAGAAATTTCTGAAACATCATTCAACACTCCCTTAAACTAATTTCAACTTTACTTTTCCATTTCAGGTGGCTGCATTTTTATGAAATTATAATTGTATCACAGAGAGTAACAAGACTAATTCAAATACAATGGAAAAGTATGTTCAAATCCTAGTTTATTTTATATATTTAAGCATTATGCCTTCTGTTAAATTTATGTGCATTTGCTATCTATTGCTGTGTAACAAATAGGCCCCAAATGTCCTAGCATAATGCATACGCGTTTATTATTTTATGCAGTTTCTAAGGATCAGAAATTTTTGAAGAGTTTACCTGGAAGGTTCTGGCTTTAGGTCTCACATAAGATTGAATGTGACCAAGGTGACAAGCATCTGGAGACTTGGTTGAGGTTGGAGGGTCCAGTTTGAAGATGGTTTATTTACATAATTGACCGGTTGATGCTGGCTGTTGGCAAGAGGCCTCCTTCCTTAAGCTCCATGGACCACTCTATAGGATTGCTTGAGTGTCATGGAAGCTGCAATGTCGTTTAATGCATAGCCTTAGAAGTCACGCTGTCACTTCCGTAATACCCTCTTGGTTCTAGGTTGTCCATGTATGTCACAATATAGCTGTGCTCTGTAAGTTTGGCAATAGCTGGGGGTTTTTTTGTTTTGTTTTGCTTTGGTTTTTGGTTTTTGGCAGTTTTATTAGTACTTCATACAATTCAATAATTCATTCATATCAAGAAGAGTTGTACAATTATCACCGCAGCCAATTCTAGAACATTTTCTTCTTCCTTGTACTCATTGTTACTAATGTAATTTTTTTCTAATTGTGGCAAAAATATACTCAACAAAACATTCAATTCCACAACTTCTACTTGTATAATTCAGTACTGTTGATTATACTCTTGGTGTAGTACAACCATTACTGATATCCTTTTCCAAATTATTACACCACTACTGACCTGAACTCAATGCCCCTTAAGTAATACCTCTTTCCCCTTCACCAGTGGTAACTATTAGTAAAGTTTAGTTTCTTTTTTGGTGGTTTTCTTGGTACTGTATTCCCATATCACACACTTCTATGGTTGAATTGTTCTTAAAATGAGTTGTATATACATCATCACAATCAGTTCTAGTACTTCCTCCCTACTCCTACAATAAACATCTATTTATCCTTCACCTACCAAGCCAAAGCTCACTGCCATTGAATCAGTTTGGACTGATAGCGTCCTACAGGACAGAGTAGAACTGTCCCAAAGGGCTTCAAAAGCTATAAATCTGTACAGATGGAGACTACCCTATCTTTCTTCCACATTCTTTACCTGGATGCCCTATTAACATTTCCCACCGTTTGCTTTATCTGATTATGTATCATTACAGTGTGGTATGAAGGACTAGAGAGGACATTGTAGACCATCACCTTTTAAGACTTGGGTGTATAACTCCTACTAACAAAGACATTCTCCAACAAAATCCCAACACAATCCTCAAATTCAGGAAGTTTATCATTGGTACAACAGTGTTATCTCACGTACTCAAAGTTCACCAATTGTCCCAATAATGTCCTTTATTTATAACACACTTTTTTTCCCAGGAGACGTGGTGTATTTGGGCTGTGATCTGCATGGTCAGAAGCCCACAGTTGACTCGGAGGCAGTGAGTTTGGTTTGTTTGTTTGTTTGTTTGTTTTTCTCAGATCTCAGCTCCAGTGCAGGGGTACATCGTGGTCTTTAACTTGGAACAGTTTCTCAGTCTGCTTTTCATAACACTTGATGTGTTGGAAGCATCCTTGTCATTAGAATGGCTGATTTTTTACAAGTAGATTGGCAGACCTTTCTTCCAGGGTGCCTCTCGGTGAACTTGAACCTCCAACCTTTGGGTTAGCAGCGGAGCATGTTAACTATTTGTTATACCCAGAGACTTGTATTGGTTACATATGTTAGTCCTGCTCAATATGGGGCAGACTACACAAAGGCATGAATACCCTTTGGAGGCTGGCTACCACTGTATGTTTTTCACTCATCACAATATACTTTTAATTAAGAGCTAGAGATGCTGCTAGAACTTAAAAAGTTAATTTTGGCTTAAATTCCAATTGGTTGAGCATGGCCAGATAGCATAGACTGTATAACTTCATTGAGCAATAAGTTACTTGTCTTAGTCAAAATATCACTGGAACTCATACAGCAGAATCATTTCTGCCTTTCATCTAGGTTATATGACAATGTGGACTTTGCAGAAGCCAGTCTGCCTGCCACTTCTTCCATCTATGTAATATGTAAATGTTCGTTGTTGACATGTTTTTTCTTTGCTTTGCTTTTTTTTTTTTTTAGAGATCAACTGGAAGAAGCCTCTGATGCTCCCCCAAAAGTTTTGGATTCTGAGGTGATGTCGGTGACAGGTGAACCACCTGGTTCTGCCAGAAGAAAGGATGAAACAGCCCAAGATATAGAAGTAGAATCCATCCCAGAATATGCAGAGCTACAACTCTCCCTTCTAGAAGTGCTGAGAATCTCAGCGGTTCTGGAGGATGCCACCGACCAGCTCTCTATTCTAAACTACATCATGCCAATTCAGTATGAACGAAGTCAGAGCACCAGCTTGGTAGATACCCTCACTATTACTTAATATCCGCTTTATTTCCTCTGCACTTCTCCACCATTGACAGCCCCGATGCCACTACGTTTACCATGGAAAATATGTCCCTCTACTTCAAATCTAGGACTACAATGATTATTTGACATGTACACTTTCCATTGATGAGTGAGGTAGCCAAAGCTCAAGATACATTACTAATCAGAATAGAATCTTCTTCCAATGCATTGACATTAAATCAGTATAAATACAGTATATATCCTGAGGAAATCAGTCAAAATACTGAGTTGCCTCACTTATCTTTTGGAAAGCTAACCAAGAGGAGCCTGATGGTGTAGTGATTACACGTTGGACTATTAACCACAGGTCAGCAGTTCGAAACCACCAGCTGCTCCACAAGAGAAAGACTGGGCTTTCTACTCCTATATAAAGAGTTATAGACTCAAAAACCCACAGAGGCAGTTCTACCCTGTCCTATAGGGTCACTGTGAGTCAGCATCGCCTCCATGGCAGTGAGTTAAAGCTAAACCAAACATTTACAACTAAGCAATCTATTCACTCTTACTATTGCAAAGTGTTGGTGTGACTTTCGGACAAACCCAAACGCCATCAGCTTTTGAGAACATCTTACCTTTCAAAATAACTTCAATCAGTATATGACATTCAGAATGCTCTTGCCATGCCAGTCTGTGATGCCATTACACACCTGTCAAAATGCTTTATTAACCAACTTTATTAACCAAAACCGATACCACCACCTGTATGGTCTAAATAAAGTCTGCTTTATCTTTTAAAATATAGTAAAGCTAACTAAACCCTAGCGAGACAGATAACTGTTGTTGATTCCATTCATGGTGACCTGACATACAACAAAAGGAGACACTGACTGGTCCACTGTCACCCATATAATTGTCAGCATGCTTAAGTCCATCTAGAGAGGTCCCCTCTCCCTCATTGGCCCTCTGTTTCACCATACACGAGGTACTGTTCTAGAGATCGGTCCTTAAAATTTTAGGGTGTTCTGTTGTAAGCCATAGGTTTTCTGTGGAAAATTTTCAAGATTGATTGCCAAATTTTATTTCCTAGTATGGTTTTCATAGAAGCTTCACTGAAACCTGTTCACTAGGTGTGACCCTGCTGGCATTTGAAATACTAATGGCATAGTTTCTAGCATTGCAGCAACAAGCAAGCCACCGCAGTATGACAAACTAGTAGAGCAGCGGTGGAAGTGCGCACTCTCTCACTGACATCAGATCAATTCCCACTCCTAGTGAACCTACAGAACACGGTAGAACTGTCTCTGGAATTGCAAGGCTGTAAGTCTTTGTGGGAGTAGAAAGCCTCACCTTTCTCCAGTGGAGCAACTAATGGGTTTAAACTTAAAACCTTGAAGTGGTCATCCCACTATGCCACCAGGGATGTTTGCACTGAACACTAGAGGGAGGACATGCCATGCAGTTCTCTCAACATGATTTTTCTCTAAGTTGTGTTGCTGTCCTTGCTGAATATGTTGCAGCCTACCTTTCGGAGTATCCAGCCACATCGCTGTTAGTCATTACATTTCCTTGACGCTACGGACTCCTCTGCAAAGCTCCATGGAGCTATCAGAAAACTCAACTTGGCAGTGAACAAAATCTTTATAAATTCTTATGTACCTCCTTAAAAAAAACCAGACTCCTTACCATCAAGTTAGTGCTGACTCACAGTGACCCTTGTGGGTTTCTGAGACTGTCACTGTTTACCGGAGTAAAAGCCCAGTCTTTCTCCTTAGGAGCTGCTGGTAGCCTGAAACTGCCACCCATGAGGATTGCAGCCCAACACTTAACCACTACACCGCCAGGGCTCCATTCTCACGTACTTACACATTTTAATAGCTTAAGTGTAAAATATAAAGTTGTGCCTGTTTCAGAGAAAAGTGACCCAACAAAATGCTGATGTTGTCAAAAGATACTATTAATATCCCATGTAAGTAAAAGTTTGTTTAAGATCAAGCGAAAATAGGTGGCAGCAGTACGTGACAGGGAGCTCTCAAATTCAATCTTATTCCAAATATAACTTGAGATGAACCAAGACCTGTACAGTACTGCCCCTACTCTTAATGGGGATATTTATACAAACAATTACAATGTGGTTCCCTTTGATCCAAATGTTAAGTAGTAAGTTAGCCAGGTGATAAGCTGGGGACTGACAACAGAAGTGTTGTATGAGCGCAGGAAGACACAACAGCAGGACATGTGGTTTGGTGTAGCTGAAAAAAACACCCTCTTTGGAGTGTAGAGAAGTGGGAAATGAAGTTGAAAATGCAGGCATGCCTCTTCTTTTATTTTTTTTGCCCTTCTTTTATATACAATTGTCTCTTAAGTTGTTATAACTCTTATTTTTATAAGAAAAGCAGAGAAGCAACTTTAGAAGAAAAAAGTCCAGATAAAGCTCAAGTGATGTCAGTAACCTCACAAAGATCTAGTCCACCTGTGCCTGTGGAAGGACCAAAGTTGCCAGGAATCAGAGAAGATGCCATTGCAGTGGACCCCAACAGAACGCAGGACTTTGTCTTCAAAAAACCTATAAGGCAGTCTATAATGACAACAGAGGCACTAAAGAAAATTCAGATAGATAGGTAAGAAATGAGTAATATTTTTATAGATGGATGAGAGAATGGGTGCAAGGGTGGCAGACTAGCTATTCTATCTGATAGATTATTCATTGTATACAAAGAGACTGCTGCTAATGGGATTAAGACAACCAAAAGGTAGTGTGATACAATTGAAAGTACGGCGGCCCTATTATTTTGGACAAGTTACTGAGCTATACCAATTTTTTTAAATGGGAATAATTATACTACCCAGGATTAAAAATAATCCTGGCACAAATTGGTAGGTACTGTGATGCTTACCCATTGATAAGAGACCCAAGCCAAACCAAATCAGTTGCTATCAAGTTGACTTGTACTGATGATAATTCTGTGATTGCCAGAGTAGAGATGTGCTCCATGGGGTTTTCCGAAAGCTGATTTTTCAGAATTAGATTGCAGGCTTTTCTCCTGAGTTACCACTGAATCGACTCAAACCTTCCACCCTTTTATGGAATTGACAGTCGTTAGACTTTGGCTGGGATCTCTTACCTTGAGGGCACTCAATGAAAGGTGGCCTGGAACTACCATACATTTACTATTTTAATGGTCCCCTTGTCTTCTAATGACATGTATTAATCTGGTAAGCATGGTTCTGTCTTAGTGACTTAGTATTATTGAAAGTGTTGCCCCATCACTTACCCCCATTGTTTGTGTAAATGATGTCCAGCCTTTAAGAGTTTAATCCGTGCAAGTCAACATCTCATGTATTATAGTCTGAAGCCTGTAGCTGTATTATTTCCTTCCCTCAAAAATGTAAATTTTCTATACCATTGGCTAAATTAATGACACTAAAATAGAATTACCTTATGCCCCAGGGAGATGACTTATAATATTCTTCTATTAATGATGTCTCTAAAGTGAATCAGAGACATATATAAACTGTACAAGCGACACCCAAGAAAAACTGGATTTTTTTTGAGATAGAAAGATAAACAATTTTAAAAAAAAGAAAGATAAGCAATTATATTATGTAACTTTAAAAAAACTCATTTTATTGGGGGCTCTTACAGCTCTTATAACAAGCCATACATCAATTGTAACAGATTTTTTTCAAAGCTATGTATTTAAATGTTTTTTCAAAACAATCTTATCACCTTCAAAGTACTCTCCATTACACTTAATACATTTGTCAAATCTGCTATTCTATTCTTGGAAACATTTTTCAAATTCATTTGTTTGGATGGCTGACAGCACCTCCCTCATTTTTTTCTTCACTTCTTCTATGTCATCAGATCGCTGATCTTTCATGTCCCTCTTCATTCGCAGAAACAAAAGGGGGTTGCACAAAGATCAGGTGATTAAGGTGCATGGGGCAAGAGAGTTATGCTATTTTTTGCCAAAAACTGGTGCACTGAGATGGCTGCGTGAGCAGGTGCATTGTCATGGTGGCAAAACCCGTCCCCCATCTGCCCCAAATAGGCTATTTTTTTTACACACTGTTACACAATCTTTTCAGAACCTCTAAATAGAAAGTTTAATTAACAGTGACCTGGTGGAACGAGTTCCAAATGCACAAATCGACATTTATGTCCATCCAGGAAGTTGATGGGCGTCCAGAATGAGGTCATCAATCGACATTTCACCCCTTGAAATGAGAAAACCACTCATACACTTGAGTTTTTCCCATAGCACTGCCCTTGTTCAAGCTGTGTTCAACATCACTACAGTTTCTGCGGCATTTTTTCCAAGCAGGAAACAAAATTTCACAGCCACACGCTGTTCTCTTAAATCAGCCATCACAAAAAATGAGGTTCAAGAGAAACTGGTTTTACAAAAAATTCACTGTGACCAGGGAGAACCTTCCCAGGTGATGCTCGATGATTGCCTTAGGGAAAAACATGTACTGTGAAAGCTCTGCGCTGCCCAGAGCAATTCTGTTTTTGGGGTATCTTCTCATAGATATGTGAATGGATATTGGTCTTGCACTTAATTCTAGCCCCAGTCTAAGACTGTTGGTTCTTATGGCATGGCCCTGCTTGATGCTCGCCTCCATGGAGAGATCACTGAAGATATGGGTGATATAGCAAAGTGTGGTAAGGAAACTAGATGGTGTCTGGGGTCTTAAAGGCTTGTCTTAAAACAAGCATCTATCTCAATGAGGCATCAATTAAGCCCACATAGAAGGAGCACACCAGCCTATGTGATCCAAGGATTGTAAATAATAGAATGCAAATCTGAAGGAGGGAATGGTATCAGAGTTTAAATTCTGAACACCTTATTTAAGTAAGGCTATGGATAACAGTGGAAACCCAAAATCCATTTGCAGGGTCCCCACACAGATTAAGCCTCTGGTGAGTCCTCTCTTGACTATAGTGGAGGGATGCCTTTTTATCCGACAGAAAGAACATTGCAAAATCAATGATGACAGATGAAGTTAGATTAAAATGTAAATACCATATTATTCTCCCTTTTTACCCATTTATTCTAAAATTATTTCAGTTTTTAAATATTTTTTGCTTTCTTTTTATTGAATTTTTCTTTGTTTTGTTTAGTCATTGTTGATGGGATCTTTTTGTTTGCTTGCTTCCTGTTTGTGTTTTGTATGATTTTCTATATACGAAATCCAGAATAGGAAGATCTAGAGAGACAGTAACAGTATTGATAATCATTGAGGGGCATGGCAGGAGGGATGGAAGGATATGGGGAGCTAAGGACAATGACTATGAGAAACAAAAAAGTTCTGAAATTGATTGTGGTGATGATTGCACACATCTTAATATGATTGAAAAATTAAATTGTACGATATGTGAAGTATATATCAATCAAACTATTAAAAACCCAAAAAACTTCAAGTATTTAACCATTTGTACTTCCTAACAAAAATCCCAAACTGTTGCCATTAAATTTTAAACTGTACTTTAATTTTGAGGGCTAAATTAAGGCTGGCTCAATTTCTGTAGTCTCATTAGTCATATGGGGTTTGTTGTTGATGCCAATTGACTTGCGAACTAGGAAGCTTGTTAAGTTAAAAAGATAAAGACTAGGTAAGACTTGGTAAGTAACATAGGTTCCTAAACTTATCTGGCCTACTGCCTCTGTGTTAGTCTGGGTAGACTAGAGAAAAAAATCCAGGGAGACTCAAATGTGTATAAGAAAGAGCTTTATAGAGAAGAGCAATGGAATATTGAGAAAACATCCCAGCCCAGTCCAGGTCAAATCCATAAATCCAATATCAGCCCATATGTCTATTACGAGTCTATAAATTCTTCTTCAGACTCACGCAACACATGCAATGACACCAAATGTAGATCACAGGCCAGTGGGTGGAAAGTCTGGTGGGTCCAGTGGTGATGGAAGCATCTCAGCCCTGGCATGGGTCTCCACGTGACTCCTCAGCTCCAGGACTCTGGCTCCATCAGTCTCTCAATGTGGCTTGTCAACAGCAATGTCTCCCAGGGAGTCAGTCTGTGTCCCGCCTCCAGCGAGCTATTTTTCTCCTTAGCACCTCCAAATGAAGTCATCAAGCTGCGATCTGATTGACAGGTTAAACTCTACCCTTTCAGTCTTAAGTCTCAAATTGACAACAGATTATGTAACTTCCACAGCCTCCTTTTCAGAAAAATATTACTCAGTACCATACTGGCAGTGAAAAACTTTTATACTGTAGCCTGCGATCCAGGATGAAGAGAAGGTATCTGCTCCCTGAATCATTCCAGCATGCCTGCTCACCACCACCAAGAGGTGGTATTGCCCAGTTTAGGAAACACTGCTTAGTAATATCTACCAAGGGCCACTGGCCAAATCTAATTTGGAGTCAATTTTTGAAAGTAAAGTTTATTTGTTTTTCCCAGCTGGACACCATTTTAATTTAATTTTAATTGTTTAATTGACTTACAATTTATACATCATATAAATGGTCTAAATACATCCAAAAAAGATATGCAATTATTACCACAATCAATTTTGAAAAATGTTCTTCATTTTTAAAAAATTTGTTCATTCTTGTATCTGTTAGCATCTTCTTTCCCCCACAACCTCCCTGACATAAGCCCAAGAAACTATGGATCTAGCTGCCATTTCTGTAAATTTGAAAATAATGATTTT